TTGGACTGGGGGGCCGGAGGTGGGGGGCTCTGCATCTTACCTGGCTGCTTCTTGCTCTGACTGAGGGCTGCTGGGAGCAGGGGGCGGGGCTTGTTGCATGTGCCCACCCCCTGGGCTCTTTACTGCTCCTGTGCGCCCCTGCAGGAAATGACCCCTGACTACTACTACTAATTTTAGGTTTCCAGTCCATTCCACAACCCCAATCCTATCGTATTGTTTACTGAAGGTCCCATCCTGTCGACCGTATTGACTCACTCTGTATAATCCACCTCGAGTCCAAGTGAGAAGGACGGGCAGCAGATATTGTAAATAAAATAAAATAAATAAATGAACATAAATTAAAAAAACCCACACACATACACTAAAGAGTTCCCACGGCAAGATGGCTCTGCAGGGCTGGTCCGGGCACCCTGCTTCAGCGGAGCAACCTGGGTTTCTTCCCCCCCTTGCAACGCCCTTGACTGCTAGGCGAGGAGCAGGTTTCGCCGGGGAAACACAATATCCTCTGTTTATTGAATTTATATGCAACGCCTGTCATAAAGACTCGAGGCGCGAAGGCGATCAATAATTCAAAGCACATATTATGGAATAAATCTACATCGACACGGGATCAACACACGCGACTGGAGACTCGTCCCTCGGCACAGGGGCTGCCTGCACCATCCGGGACCTGAGGGGATTCCGGTAAGTGCCCGGGGGGTGGGTGGGTGGGTCAAAGACCCCCAAAGGGGGAGGAAGATCCCGGGATGAGGATCCTTCCCTCGACCCCCCTCTGCTTTCACACCTTCGTGGCTTCCGAGACCTGCTTCTGCTTCCTTTTGTTGTTGTTGTTCAGTCGCACAGTCGAGTCCGACTCTTCGCGACCCCATGGACCAGATCACGCCAGGCCCTCCGGTCTTCCGCCGTCCTCTGAAATTTGCTCAACTTCATGTTTGTTGCATCTATGACACTGTCTAACCATCTCATCCTTTGCCGTCCCCGTCTTCTTTGACCTTCAATCTTTCCCAGCATTCCTAGATTCCTTGCTTCCTTTTGCGTCGCTCCAAATGCCCAGTTTCCTTCTCTGAACCTGGCATCCGATGCAGGGAGCTTTGACTCTCCAAAGTTATATCCCGAATATCTTCTTGGTCTTTAAGGTGCTACTGGACTTGAATCTAGCTCGGGGGCCCCCAACTGTTTTTGAGCCAGTGGGCACCTTTGGAACTCTGACACAGAGTGGCGGGTGCAGCCCCAAGATGGCTGCCGCAGGAGGCGGAGCCAACCCCGAAACGTTAGGGGAGTGAGGTTATGCGCGACTCTTACAGTACCTCTTCAACGCTTCAGGCAGAAAGCTCAGTTTGGTGTAGTGGTTTAAGTGCGCGGACTCTAATCCGGGAGAACCGGGTTTGATTCCCCACTTTTCCCCTTGCAGCCAGCTGGGTGGCCTTGGGCCAGTCACAAGTTCTCTCAAGGACAGCTCTGGAAAAAGCTCTCTCAGCCCCAACTCCCTCACAGGGTGCCTGTTGTGAGCCAGTTTGGTGTCATGCTGAAGTGCGCGGACTCTAATCTGGGAGAACCGGGTTTGATTCCCCACTCCTCCACTTGCACCTGCTGATGTGACCTTGGGTCAGTCACAAGCTCTGGCACAGCTGTCCTTGAAAAAGAGCAGTTTGTGTCAGAGTTCTCTCAGCCCCACCCACCTCACAGGGTGTCTGTTGTGGGGAGGGGAAGGGAGAGGAGTTTGTAAGCCGCTCTGAGACTCCAAGTGAAGGGCGGGGTATAAATCCAATCTCTTCTCTTCTTCTTGTGGGGAGGGGAAGGGAAAGGAGATTGTAAGCCGCTCTGAGAGTCCCTTGGGTACTGAAGGGCGGGGTATAAATCCAATCTCCTCCTCTTCTTCTTCTTCGTGTAATGCCCTTTTAAATAAACATACTGTTTAAAAATATTTTCTTGCTTATACACACACACATACATATTATGCTACCTGAGAAACACTCATCTGGTAGTATCTGGAGATCTCCGGTGGCCAATCAGGAGTTCTGCTGGACCTGCCCACTTTCTGAAAACACTTGGCAGGCGCCTGGAAGGGTACCGGCAGGCACCACCATGCCGTTGGGCGGCACCTCGGGGAACCTGATCGAGCTCTTCTCTGAACCTAACACCAAAGCCTTCTCCGCAACAGCCAACTTCCCAGCTGGCCTTCCCATTAGATTTGCCAACCTCCAGGTGGTAACAACCACGCAAAAATGGAACCACAGTGAATACAGTTACGCAAACAGATAAACAGAATAACCTGTCCCGCTGTACAAACAACGCTAGAGATCTCCGTATTCTTATCCAGTTCTAATTACAATTATAGACAGTACACATAACAAACAGTTATGCCATGACAACTACACCAGTTGAAGAGTGACCGAATAGTCATAGAATCATAGAATGTTAGGGCTGGAAGGGACCTTGCAGGAGCAGAGCCGAAAGAGAGCCCGACGACATACCCGGAAGATGGCCGTCCAGCCTCTGCTTGGAAACGTCCAGCGAAGGAGCCTCCACCACCTCCTGAGGCAGACCGTTCCACTGCTCAACCACTCTTACCGTTGGGAAGTTTCTCCTGATATTTAGCCTGTAACGACCCCCTTGTAATTTCCACCCATGAGATCTAGTCTTGCAATCCGGAGCAAGAGAGAATAGATCCGCTCCGTCTTCTACATGACAGCCCTTCAAATACTTGAAGACTGCAATCATGTCCCCTCTAAGCCTTCTCTTTCCCAGGCTAAACAGACCCAACTCTTTCAGCCTTTCCTCATAAGACTTGGATTCCAACCCTCTCACCGTCCTGGTTGCCCTCTTCTGGACACACTCATAGAATTATAGAATCATAGAATGTTAGAGTTGGAAGGGACCCTGCAGGTCATCTAGTCCAACCCCCTGCACTCTGAAAAAGCAGAGCCGAAAGAAAGCCCGACGACATACCCTAAAGATGGCCGTCCAGCCTCCGCTTGGAAACATCCAGCAAAGGAGCCTCCACCACCTCCCGAGGCAGACTGTTCCACTGCTCAACCACTCTTACTGTTACCAAGTTCCTCCTGATATTTAATGGTATCAACTCCCTTGGAATTTCCACCCATTAGATCGAGTCTTGCAATCCGGAACAAGAGAGAATGGATCTGCTCCATCTTGAAAGTACAAGACTCTTTGGAATTATGCAGTCACCGGCTCATGATATATATTCCAAACATCTGAGAATCAGGCTCTGGGATATACTTGTAGATTTTGTGTTATTCTGAATCTT